AGAGAGATAAGAGACATCAATGATGAGAGAAAATCATTGATTGGTTGCCTCCTGCATGCCCCTCCCACTGGGGGATCGAGCCCACCACCGGGCATGTGTTCTGACCGGGAATCCAACCGGGACCTCTTGGTTCATAGTTCAGTGCTTAACCACTGAGCCATGCTGGCTAGGGAAGCACCAGAATTTTGACAGAGAACAGGGTCCCAGAAGGCCAGCCTTGAGCCAGCCAGGAGCCAGGTGGAAGAAGGCTGAACAGTGTGCCCCTGGGTGGGGGTGGGCTCTTGCAGATCTCAGAGACTAGCAGAGGAGAGATAATGAACAAACTTTGATTCTTAGCCAAGTATGCGTGAGATAGAAACTTCTTTATTTTCTCTGAAAGTTAACTTTCTCATGGAACGCCCATCTGCCAGATCAGCAAGAATGCAATCTCAGCCCTAGCCAGTTTGGCAGTAGATAGAGCGCGTTGGCCTGCAGACTGAAAGGTCCTGGGTTCAATTCAAGCCAAGGGCACGTGCCTGGGTTGCAGGCTTGATCCCCAGTGGGAGTATGTAGGAGAGAGCCAATCAATGATTCTCTCTCATCATCATCCTCTCCCCCCGCCCTCACTTTCCTCTCTGAAATCAATAAAAATATATTAAAAAAGAAAGAAAATGCAATCTCACCTTTTTCAGGGCTCCTTCACCAAGGTGAAGTGAAGGTCCTGAGGTCTCACAGGTGCCCAGGCATCAGGGAGGAACCGTGCCACCCAGCAGGCATCAGCATAAGTCCATCCTGTCCCACGTGGTCCCCCTCAACAAGCTTGGAGCATAAGAGTTTGGTGAAGCTGAAACCGGTTTGGCTCAGTGGATAGAGCGTCAGCCTGCAGACTGAAAGGTCCCGGATTCGATTCGGGTCAAGGGTATGCACCTTGGTTGCAGGCATTTCCCCAGTAGGGGGTGTGCAAGAGGCAGCTGATTGATGATTCTCTCTCATCGATGTTTCTAGCTCTCTGTCCCTCTCTCTTCCTCTCTGTTAAAAAAAAAATCAATTATATATATATATATATATATATATATATATATATAGAGAGAGAGAGAGAGAGAGAGAGAGAGAGAGAGAGAGAGAGAGAGAGAGAGAGAGTTTGGTGTGGCTGAGGACAAGGGAGGCCTAGGTTAGCCTGCAGTTTTCCCCTTTGAGGTAAACTGTTCTCTGTTGCTCAGGGGACCCACAGACTGCTTGACCCCACCCCTTTACCTCTCATTCCCTTCTCCTTCTCCTTGCCACCTTCCTTTCCCCGCCCCCCCCCCCCCCCCCCCCCCACACACACACATACACAACACCCAGGATGCTTTTTCAATGGACTCAGGCTTCGGGAACAAAGGCAGGGAAGGACAATCTGAAAGCAGTGGAGGACTGCTTTCCGTCCTGCTGCAAACCTCCCCTGAAACCAGGAAACCCAGAGCCCTTGCTCCCTGCTGAAATAAAGGAGAGGAGAGAGGAGAAGCCCACGAGGGGAAAACACACAGGAATTGACGTTTGAATGGATTTCCTTGCCGGGCGAGGCCAGTTCTTGAGCCAACCAGCACCAGGGAGCAGGTGGGAGAAGGCCGGAACAGTGTGCCCTGGTGTGGGGATGAGCATGAGGTTCTGAAATGTGGAGAAATCCAATATTTGCCTCCAGTGGCTCCCTTAACAATAAATAAAGGTGAGGAAGGAAACGGAACGTGTTAGACACAGGCCGAAAGGTGAGGCTTATTGGGACAAAGGCTCCGTGGGAAGAGAAGAGCTTTATAAGACGTAGCTGCGTCAACCTGATGACAATGGCTGGGAAGCAATATTTCAGATGCTCTGGAGAATAACCGTTCTGCTGTTTTCTTTATACGTTTGGAGTTAGGGAGCAATGAAGGTGGGAGAAAGCAAGGCATAGCATAGTCAAGATATAGGATCCCTTGAGGACGTCTCTGAGGGGTCTGAAAAAGAGGATCACTCTCACATTTCAAGGTGTGTTAACCTAGATGCACAGGGACAATGGACAGGGCTTGATAAATCTTTTACTATAAATGTCATAGGCCTGGGGTGTGATTACCCGCATGACCTGCCCAGTTGGAAATTTATGATCAGATCACCCTGTGAGGTTATTTTCCATCATTGGATTTGTCAGTTTTATTACACAATCTCTTTTTTGTCTTTAAAAGGCAGAACCAGAGGATCCCTAGATAAGTTTTCCAGCCCAACCTGCCCTCTCACATGGACCAGCGAGAAGTCAGCTTCTGCTTGCATGCTTCTGGTTATGGGGGACTCACTTCCTCCCAGGACAGCCTCATCTTTACAATAGGCTCTTTACATTGGGCTTCAGGCTTCCTCCATAGAGCATGTAGCTTCTAATTCTGGCCTTAGGCTGCATAGAAAAATGTAGTGAAATCAGACCCACTTGATCACTTATAATTGAAGTGGAGGCCAGGTGCATAAAATTCATGCATGGTGGGAAGGGTCCCTCAGACCGGCCTGCACTTTGTCCAATCCAGGACCCCTTGGGGGATGTCCAACTGCCGATTTAGGCCCGATCCTGCAGTGGGACATCCCTCTTGCAATCCAGGACCATTGGCTCCTAACTGCTTGCCTGCCTGCCTGATTGCCCCTAACCACTCTGCCTGCCGGCCTGATCACCCCCATCTGCCCCCACTGCCAGCCTGATCGCTCCCAACTGCCCTCTCCTGCCAGTCTGATTGCCCCTAACCACCTCTGCCTAGGCTCTGTCACCATGGCTTTGTCCAGAAAAATGTCTGGAAGGTCTCCAGGTCTAATTAGCATATTGCTCTTTTATTACTCTAGATGAGCCTGTGCCTGTAGCAACTTCAAGATTTTGTTTCCTCGTGTCAAAACTATGCACAACAATAATATCTGCATGACAAATCATATTAGAGCAAGGCAGGTCGAACACTCAGCACTCAATGACCTTGGTTCCCTCTTCCCTCAGGGTGAACCAGCCAAGTGCATAGAGGCTCTGAAGTCACGCTGTCTGAGTTCACATCATAGCCAGACCACTTACTAGTTTTATGACCAAGCAAGTTGTTTTATCTCTTTGTGTCTCCATTTTACCCCCTAAAAACAGGGATTATAATGGTCCCTACTTCAGAAGGTTGCTGTGAGGTTTCAATGAGTTAATGCATCCGTTGTTAGAATAGCACCGGGCTTGTAATAGGTGCTTAGTAACCATTCATCATGATCATATAATTTCATCCTTCTCTTCTGACAATCAGAAGACTGTGACTGTGGCCTGACATCTCTTCCTTCCCAGGATAAAAGACCTCTTTTGGCCAAAACCGGTCTTTTGGCTCAGTGGATAGAGCATCAACCTGCAGACTGAAAGGTCCCCGGTTCGATTCAGGTCAAGGGCATGTACCTTGGTTGCGGGCACATCCCCAGTAGGGGGTGTGCAAGAGGCAGCTGATCAATGTTTCTCTTTCATCGATGTTTCTAACTCTATCCCTCTCCCTTCCTCTCTGTAAAAAAAAAAAAAAATCAATCATATATATATATATATATATATATATATATATATTTTTTTTTTTTTTTTTTTTTAAGACATCTTTTGTAGGCCACCCTCACCCAGATGGGAGGTCACACTCCAGGGCGGCCATGAGTTTCCTCACAGTGTGATGGCAGAGCTGAGTGATCCTCTCCCTCTCCGAGTGTGGTCTGACTCATCTGAGAGAAGAGCTGTTGCCTCTTGCCTCCCCCAACCTACTTCTCTCCTTCTCTCAGCAGACAGCATGGAACAATAAGCTTGTAGGCCCACCAACCCCAACCTCTAGGAATGCATAGGTTCCTGGAGGCTCTTACTATGGTGACTTTCCAAGTGACGATAACCATGAGTGATATAATAACTGAAGACAGCGGTGTGGTGCTAACTTCTGATAGAGGTTGGTGATGCTGATGGTGATTAAGACAGTGGCAGGGCTGAAACCGGTTTGGCTCAGTGGTAGAGCGTCGGTCTGCGGACTAAAAGATCCCGGGTTCGATTCCGGCCAAGGGCATGTACATTGGTTGCGGGCACATCCCCGGTGGGGGGTGTGCAGGAGGCGGCTGGTCGATGTTTCTCTCTTATTGACGTTTCTAGCTCTCTGTCTCTCTCCCTTCCTATCTGTAAAATATCAATATAATATATTAAAAAAAAAAAAAAAAGACAGTGGCAGGGTTAGGATAATGAAGATGTTAGAGACAGTGATTCTTAGAGTCATGATTTCATTAGTGACTCCGAAGTGTCAGGTGACAGTGATGATGATAATGATGGTGGGTGACTATGACAGAAACAATGATAATAGTTAGGACAATATTGGTCATTTATTCATGATGATATTGGTGATGTGAATGGGGTGATGTTTAAGATGATGCTTTCAGTTATGGAAGTAATTTTTCATGATAATGTTGGTGATTATTAGGATATTAATGATGGTGATGACAAAGTTTGACCACTGGAATTTCATCCATTCTTTCAAAACTACTTGAATGATGAGTGTTTTCCAAAAAACTTTTCATAGAGGATGACTAAACCCCTAGAAGCACAATTGCATGTAGCGTGCATATAAGTAACTGCAGATGAATGAATATTCAAGTTCTTAGCTGTGGTGTTTAAAAATTCTCCATTGCCTCAGAGGTGTGGCATTGACAGTTTGAAAGGAAAAACAAAGAATTAGTCAAGAAGTCGTGAGCTGAAGCAAATGATGAAAATTAATATTTTGTTTAACATGGGTCACCTCACAATAAACTATGTAGAAAATACATGTTTGAATACTTGTAATTGCTGGGCAATAAAATCTGTTTTCTTAACAACACACAGAGAAAAAAACACTTGTTAAGTACCTCTAGGGCCAAGAACAAATAGATCACTGCTGGCCCCATTGCTCCTGAAAAGATGACAGACCCCCAGCCTCTCCTTTCCCAGAGTTCCCCGCCCCAGCCCACAAGCATCTCTGAGCAGGATGTCTCATCCAGCTGACCCCGTGGTTGTGTCTTCCCAGGGTGAAGACTCTGCTGAGCAGAGCCCCGAGGAGTCCCCAAAGAAGCAGGATGGCCTCGCCCAGATTGCACCAGACCTGACCATGGTCCAGTTCATCAAAGGTAGGTAAACTCAGGCCGGGCTAGGTGGAGGTAGAGCTGAAGGGGCATTTGAAATGGTACAGGGTCTACCCCTTCCTGTCTTTCTTGATTCATCTTTTGTACCTAAAGGCCCCTCATGAGCACCCTTCATTTCTTGTGAGTCTCTGCTCATGTGATCCCCTCTGCCTGGAATATTGCGGGGGCCTGATGCAGCGAGGATCTCCCTTTTCCACCTACCGCATGGAAAGAGAGATGAACGAACCAGTTCTAAGTGGAGGCAGCTAGGGATTGAGAAACAATAGAAATAGAGAGAGAAGACACAGAGATAGATTTTAAGCTGGGAGCTGGGTGGGCCGCCACTCTCTCTGCTGGAGAGGCATAGAAGATGACTATGACCCCTCCCTGTGCATTTATTTTATAAACCCAATACCAGAAAGTTATCACCAACTTATTTGCATTCGTAAGTAGGCCCTAGCATGCCTGGATTTACATATCTAGTCCCGCCCCTGCCGACACTGGGCTGATATAAGAAAATTGCCCATGAGCCTTCCCAAGCAGCCCTCTAACAGAATATCATTTTTTATTGCCGTCAAAATTTTCCTTGTTCCTCTAGGCCAAAATCAAGTGCAACTTCTCTCCTTTGCTCACCTAGCCTGGCCCCCCTCTTCTCAGCTCTCTGAACCCTCAGGGCTTCCAGATCAGCTCAGATCTGTGCTGCATACTAGTCCAGTCCTTCCAACGGGGCAGGGAGCTCAGAGCCTGTGTCATTTGTGACCCTTCTCCCAGCTACCACTGAGGCTGGTAGCAGAGGCTCTCAGTAAATATTGATTAAATTCTCAGGCAGTGGTATGGGTAGAGTGACCTCTGAGCTAAAATGCAAAAACCTGGACTTTTTTCTTAATTATGTTTTTATTGATTTCAGAGAGGAAGGGAGAGGGAGAGAGAGATAGAAACATCAATGATGAAAGAAAATCATTGATTGGCTGCCTCCTGCATGGCCCACATTGGGGATCGAGCCTGCAACTGAGCATGTGCCCTGACTGGGAATCGAACCATGACCTCCTGGTTCATAGGTCAATGCTTAACCACTGAGCCACACAGACTGGGCAGAAACCTAGACTTTTGTCCTGGGTTTGCTCCTCTCTGGGCCTTGGTTTCCCCCACCTGTGCAGAGTGTGTGTGTGTGTGTGTGTGTGTGTGTGTGTGTGTGTTGGGTGGTGGTGGTTGGGGTAGACTCAATGATCTAATATCAATGCCACTCTGATCCTGAGACTATGAGCTCAGTTGATCAGTAACCAGGGTCCATGCAGTAACCAGGCCATCCTCTCTGAAGATTCGGATCCCATGACCACTGATTGCCTGCTGTGAGCCAGGCTCTTGTAACAGCCCTGGACGGCAAGTCAGAGACCTGGATTAGAGGCCCCAACACTGGCCAGTGTACAGTCTTACGGAAGGTCCTTTCCTCCCCTAACCTGCGTCTCCTCACCTGAAGGATCAGGTCTGTCATCCTTTCTCAAGGACCATTAGAAAAATCAAATGGGATGGTGAATGGAAAGCCCTTTGTATATTATTATTATTATTTTTATTTTTAAAAAATATATTTTATTGATTCTTCATAGAGAGGAAGAGAGAGGGATAGAGAGCTAGAAACATCGATGGGAGAGAATCATTGATCAGCTGCCCCTTGCACACCCCCTACTGGGGATGTGCCCACAACCAAGGTACATGCCCTTGACCGGAATCGAACCCGGGACCCTTCAGTTCACAGGCCGATACTCTATCCACTGAGCCAAACCGGTTTCAGCTGTATATTATTTTTTTAAACTCTATGTATATAAGGTACAATTATTATTCCAATTATCACTCCTTGCCCTACTGTTATTATTCTGACTCTCTCCTGAGACAGTAAATCAAGCTGTTTGTGGTTTAAGGGTGTGATAACCACAGGTTTGCATCATCTTCCCACTGAGAACTTTCACAACAGGAAGTTAATTAAGCCTAATCCTCGAGAAGCGTTTCCTAAGACACGATGTTGGGATAGCAGTCATCTAGCCCCCAGTTCTCCAGTCCCCAGGGCAAGGGGACATGGACTCCTGTGAGCTGGGCCTAAGGGCAGGGGCCTGGGTTCCTTCGCTCAGTTCGCCCTCAGCTGCAGGGGGCGCTGGCAGGCTGCTCCGTGGGGGAGCTTATTAAGCATTGCTTTGGCTCCCGCCCAGAGAGAATTTGGAGCCAGTCACTGAAACTGAGTCCTGGAGTGGGTGTCTGGAATTGTCTCTGGTGGTTTTAACTTCAACATAAGCCTGTGGGAAAGCGGCCAGAAACCGGCCAGACAACTGGCTGCCGGGCCTTCCGAGGAGCTCCACAGAGGGACCCGTCTGACCCTGAGGCTTGGCCTTGACCCCCTGGCACCATGGAGGAAGCAGAGTGAGGAGGAACTGTGGTCCTTCAGCTGGAGGAGCCCCAAACTCTTGGCGGAAGACAGTCCCTGAGCTATGGAAGTCCCCTGTCTGATAGGGGAGACATAGGTCCTGAGTGGGAGCGGCCCTGGCTGAGGGGAGAGACAAGTGTCTGTGCTGCGGGAGGTCCCTGTCCAATGGGGGACACATAGTCCCTGAAGGGAGGGAGAAGAGGAGACCCGGCCTCTGTGCTGGACGGGGACCCTATCTGATGGGGGACATTGTCCTTGAGTTGAGGGAAGTCTCTGACAAGTGGAGGAAACACAGTCCCTAACCTGGGGGGGGGGGGAGCTGTTCTATTTGAGGGGGTGTACTTGGCCTCTGAGCTGTGGGGGGCCCTTTCTGATAAGGGAGATGGAGCCTCTGAGTGGAGAGAGGCCTGGCTTGTCTAATGGGGAGACATTGTGCTGAGATAAGGGGAGCCTCTGCCTAATGGATCAGACACACTTCTGAGCGAGAGATGGACCCTGGAGATGCCTCCAAGTATCCCTATCTAAGTGCCCTTTGAGAATTTTGGATCTGTTCTAGGACCGGCTGCAGATGCTGGAGGTAGCGAATGGGCCCTGCACTGATTAGCATAGGAGAGTGGGATGGAAACAGTTAGTAGGTGGAGTCAGGCAGCCAGAGACCCAGGAATTGGGGGGGGGGGGGGGGAGGTTCGGGTGGGGAGGAGGGCGGAGAAGAAGGGAGAATGGCCTTTATACTGAGTCAGGAACCCCCCAGCAACTCCTGGCCTTGCCCCAGCCTTTCCAGCCAAACTGGGCCGAGTTCCCTGCCACCTGTATGGAGAGGGCACCTGTATAGCATGGGCCAAGCCCGGGCCAAGCCTGGACCAGCAACTCATGGAGAGAGGGAGGGAGGGAGGGAGGGAGGGAGGGAGGGAGGGAGGGAGGGAGGGAGGGAGGGAGGGAGGGAGACTGGAGCCATAGCCCTGGCATCACATCTCTCTGCTTCGAATCCTGGCTGACTGTTCTCTGTCTGTGACAAGGGACTGGGGACAGGAGGCAGGCCCCTGACGTGAACGAAGGGGAATTCCACAGCCCCTGCTCCCACCTCCCCTGCCAGGACTGTTTGTCTATTTTCTGGCTCCAGGCCCGGCCCCGGGGGCTTGGTTCTGGCGTGCTCTGAGGGCGGCAGCAATCTCCCGTGACAGAGGCCCTGGCCCTGCTGCTGCAGGAAATGCAGGGACCCTCCCCGCCCGAGGGCCCAGAGAAGCCCCATGGCCACCTTTGCCGAGCCCAGTCTGTCAGAACAGAAGCCTCTCGGCTGTGTGTGGCCAGCCCGCTGAGGGGGGCCTGAGGCCCAGAGCTCGGGCTCCCCCAGTGTCAGGTGCCTCTGAGCAGACTTGCCGTGAGGAACCTGTCCCCAGGCACCGGTTTAGGAGTCAGCAAGAGACTGGGGAGCTCATCACTTCTCTTCCTGTCTCCAGGCCTTTGCCCCTGCTGTGCCCCCTATTAGGCATCCCTTTTCTTTCTCACACAACCTCTCCAGGCCCTCCCATTCCTCAGGCCCCACCTCCGGGAGGCTGCCCAGCACCCAGCCTGCTCAGCTTTCACCTTCCCTGGGGGTCTGAGCTGTGCCCCATCATTTTGACATTTGACTGCATGTTAGTCTGTATATCCATTCATTCATTCCATAAATGTGTGTGGAGAGCTTACTGTGCCCCGGGCTCTGGAAGTTCGGCAATTAGCCCAACAGGCAGAAACCCCTGCTCTAAATGAAACTTGCCTTCTGGTGGGTGACAACACAATGGCCTAAGAAGTAAAATGTGCAGGATGTTAGGTGAAGTGTATGGACTAAGGGTGGACAGATCAGGGGAGACGATATCCCGAGTTGGGGACGAAGAAGGGAGGACAAAGGCCTGGGCTGGCTTAGAAAGAGCCACAGCAGACAGGATGGGAAGCGCCAAGTTGGGGGCACGGGAGTGGGGAGAGAGAGAAGGAAAGATGAATAAGTAGAGCAGAATGAATGAAATGAGATGGGGTGGCATGGATGAAATAGAATCAGATAGGTTGATATGGTTTAGAATTTTGTACATGGCATAGAATTTTGAATCGAATGGAATGGAAGGAAACACAGTTGAATAAAATGCAGTGTAATTCAATGGCTCAGAATGAAACGGAACTCCAGAAATGAACTGGAATTAAGCGGAAAGGAGCCCGCTGTTCTCGGAAAGTACTGAATGTAACAACTAAACGGGATGAGATGGGCTGGAAGGAATGGAACGGCGTGAACTGGACAGGGCAGGATGGAACAGAGAGGAACGACATGAGTGGCCGCCCACCCTGACCTCCTCCCCATTCACCCCAACAGTCTTCCCCAGGGTGCTGCTTCGAACCCTGCGACACCCCATCTTCCTGCTGGTGGTCCTGTCCCAGGTGTGCGTGTCGTCCATGGTGGCAGGCATGGCCACCTTCCTGCCCAAGTTCCTGGAGCGCCAGTTCTCCGTCACAGCGTCCTACGCCAACATGCTCCTCGGCTGTCTCTCCATCCCCTCGGCCATCGTGGGCATCGTCGTGGGGGGCGTCCTGGTCAAGCGCCTCCACCTGGGCCCCATGCGCTGCAGCGTCCTCTGCCTGCTGGGGGCGCTGTTCTGCCTGCTTTCCACCCTGCCCCTCTTCTTCATGGGCTGCCCTACCCACCAGATCGCGGGCGTCTTCCACCCGCCTGGGTGAGTATGTGCGAGGTCCTGTGAACAACAGGGTGCGAGAGGGCGGGACCAGGAAGGGTGCAGCCCAAACAAGGCCAGGGCAACGGGGCACCTCAAATCTCCCCTCCCCCGTGCCCCTGTCTCCTCCTCTCCCCCCTGGACTCAGCTGTGAGCAGTGAGACTTGTCTCTCCGGTGAATGTGTTGGGCAGCATTCAAAGGGGCAGGGAGGGAAGGAATTGCCCTGGTGTGAGAGCTCAGGCCAGGGGAGGGATGAAGGCCGAATCAGGGCATCAGGGCAAAGCCCCTTGTGGGCATGGCATCTCCAGAGCGGACCAGCGCTGTGTGCCAGGGGAGGCGGGGCGCACCACAGGAGCCGTACCCAACTCGGCCTAAGGAAGGCTTTGCTCCCGGGCAGGGGAAAGGCCTGCCCAGGAGGGAGCAGGCTCTCCATCCCAGGAGACCAGGGGCTGAGGGGGAGACCAGGGGCTGAGAGGCCCCTGTAGGGACACTACAGAGAGACTTAGGCTTTGGGAAGGGGTTGCCCTGGAGACCTTGGAGGTTCTTGGTTCTTAGAGCCTGGGAGCTAAATTCTGTCGTTCCATGGCCCTGAGATTCCAGAATTCTCTTTCCATCCATGGGGCAACACCTGCCTCCAACCCCCCAGGAGGAAATCCTCTGGTGACTATCTCCTTCCCTCTCCAGCACCCCCCCCCCCCAACACATACCTTCTCCCCTCGGGAGCAACTTGGAGAGGATGTGGGAAGTAACACTGCTGCCTCTTCTCCAGGATGATTTCATTTTTCCTAGGAACTGTTCCAGCGTAGGCTGGCCTGACGCTCAGCTAGAATTTCCTAACTTTCTCTGTCCCCGACTCTCCCAGGCCTCTCCTCCCTGCACCGGTGCCAGCTCTCTGCACCTGGGCTCCTGTGGGGCAGGAGGGGGTGGGGACTTGGCTTGGGCTCCAGGAATGCTCAGTCCTGGCCTCCACGTCCCAGGTCCCACCTCACAGACCTCTCCCACCCCCTGTTCCCTCCTCCTTTTCCCTCTCCTCCCCCTGCGAGGCCTCTCCGCTGGCCAGGGCGGGGCCTTCTGGGTGCGGAGCCCTGGGTCTGGGCACAGCAAGAGGGCTTCAGTCAGGCCCTGGGTCTGAGGAGGGAGCCAGGGCCTTGAATTGATTTTTGGAATAAAAAGTAAATGAATATATGACCACATATATATTTTTTCTTTTTTAAATTGGCCTATCCCCACTGCAATGGCTCGGTTGGTTGAGCATCATCCTGTGCACTGAAAAGTTGCCCGTTCAATTCCCCATCAGGGCACATACTTGGGTCGTAGATTTGATCCCCAGTTGGGGAGCATGCGACAGCCAAATGATCAATGTTTCTCTCCCTCCTTCCTTCCCTCCCTCCCTCCCTTTCTCCTTCCCTCTCTCCCTCTTTCCCTTCTTCCTCCCCCCTCCCTGTCTCTCTCTGCACATCCTTGAGTGATGGTTTTTTAAAAAGCCTATACCACATAACTTATTTCTCTTTTCTTCTCCCTCTCACCTTGACTCTGACATCTCATCTCACCTGTGTTCTCATCTATATTCTTTTTAAAAAGTATTTTTTATTGATTTCAGAGAGGAAGGAAGAGGGATAGAGAGATAGAAACATCAATGATGAGAGAGAATCATCGATTGGCTGCCTCCTGCATGCTCCCTACTGGGGGGATCAAACCTGCCTCTGGGACACGTGCCCTTGACTGGAATCGAACCTGGGACCCTTTTATCCACAGGCCAATGCTCTGTCCACTGAGCCAGACAGGCTCAAGCTGTATTCTTGCAATTTACTCACTGAGCTTTGGATTCTAATTCATTGAATAAGCCTTTCTGGACCAAGTGGGCAAATTGAACTGAATTACTCCAGCCCAACTAATAACACTGATCACTGCCCGGGCCTCTGCCTGCACCACCCAGGACCGCAGCCCCTCCAGCTGCCCACCTGGCCTCCTGCTCTCAGCGGCCATCGGCCCTTTGGCCAGTTTCCTCCCTTCACGGCACGATGCCAGCTTACATTTGAGTCCCAGGGCACCTCTGTCCCTCCTGGCTGACCTGCCCTGGGACTCACCCTCTCTCCTCTCTCCTGCCCCCTCTTGCCCTGGCTCACTGGGATGGGGGCTCTCCTGGGACTTGGGGACTGCATCTCCGAGGGAAGGCCAGAGGGACATAAAACGTGCCCTGGACACAGTGACCAGGGTAGCGAGAGTTTTGAGAGGTCCTGAGACTGGAGAATGGCGATGGGGCGGGGGATCCTCAGACAAGGTGACAGAAAGAGAATCTGAGGCCCAGAGAGAGGCAGGAGCAGGTCAGAGACCCCACAGCTAGTCACCTATCCTGAGTTCCACACGCGTAGCTCAAACGTCCCAAGAAAAAGAAGTAATCCGGTTACATCGAGAAAAGGGCACTTATCATCTTAGACTAGATCTTAGGAGGGATTTATCTTTTTTTTTTTTTAATATATTTTATTGATTTTTTACAGAGAAGAGGAGAGAGGGATAGAGAGCTAGAAACATCGATGAGAGAGAAACATCAACCAGCTGCCTCTTGCACACCCCCTACTGGGGATGTGCCCGCAACCAATGTACATGCCCTTGACCAGAATCGAACCTGGGACCCTTCAGTCCGCAGACCAACGCTCTACCACTGAGCCAAACCGGTTTCGGCTAGGAGGGATTTATCCTATGCTCCCCAGAGAAGGGCCCCTGAGGAGCGGAGCTGTTCACAGAAGCAGGTCAAACATCACGGGCTCTTGGGGCGGGAGGAGTCTCAGAGGCCTCTGGTCCCCTCTGCTCCCCCCCCCTCCCCTCGGGAGGCCCTGAGGCTCCTGGCCACCTTCCTGCTCACACCCCCCACTCAGGGAGCTCACCACAGCCCGGACGGTGTGGGACCTGCATGGGGTGGACACCTCTGGCCACTGCTCTCTCAGTGGGGAGCCAGGCCGAGGGCTAGGGCATCTCTGGTTTGTGGCCGGAGGGAGGGAGAGCCAGGCCAACCCTCCGGCCTTCTCTCCTACCAGGTCCCAGCCTGGGCCGGAGCTCTCCGCAGGCTGCACGGAGCCCTGCGCCTGCCCTCCGGACGACTTTAACCCGGTCTGTGACCCCAGCGCCCGTGTGGAGTACCTCACCCCCTGCCACGCAGGCTGCACACGCCGGGTGGTCCAGGAGGCTCTGGGCAGAAGCCAGGTGGGTCAGGCCTCTGGCTGCTCCCTCTGCCTCTCACGGGCTCTCCGCCTTCCCTGTCTCTGTGCCTGCCTCACGCCCCAGCTCGGAATGTTCTCACTCTCTGGCGCTTCTGTCTGTCTGTCCCCTGTTGGCAGACGGAGAACGTTGTTCTCTCAATAAGCTTTCCTTGCCAGCCTGGGCCCTGCCATCTGCCAGTGCCCAGAGGGGACGCAGATCTGGCTCCAGCTGCTCATGCAGGAGATGCAGATGGAAATAGCTCAGGAATTCCCAGGGTGCTTCCAGGCAGGAGAAATGGTACCCCCCTCCCCCCCCCACACACACACACAAGGATGGAAGAAGATACAGAGGCTTCATAGGAAGTGGCGTTAGTGCTGGATCTTCAAGAGTGAGCAGGCAAACTAGGGAAGGGCTTCCCGGGCCACAGGCCGATGCTCTGTCCACTGAGCCAAACAGGCCCGGGCTATATTCTTGCAACTTACTCACCCAACTTTGGGTGCTAATTCATTGAAGAAGCCTTTCTGGACCAAGTAGGCAAATTGAACTGAATTACTCCGGCCCAGCTAATGATACTGATCACTGCCTGGGCCTTTGCCTGCACCACCCAGGCCCGCAGCCCCTCCAGCTGCCTGCCTGGCCTCCTGCTCTCAGCGGCCATCGGCTCTTTGGCAGGTTTCCTCCCTCCACACTGTGATGCCAGCTCACATTTGAGTCCCAGTCTGGGGAAGAGCAGGAGCCCACAGTGTGGAAGCAAGCCCACTCACAGGGTACACACACACACACACACAATGCTTCATGAAAATGCAGAGAGCTTGTTGGAGCAGGAGCTTGTTGGAGCAGGAGCTAGGGTTCATGGGGGGAAAGCAAGGCCCAGACCCAGAAGGGCCTTGAATGCCAGACAGTGAGTGGGAAGTCCATCCAGAGAGCAGCAGGGAGCCCTGGGTGACTCTGAAGCAGGGGATGATAGAGTCAGACCTGTGTGCGATCACACGGAGTCCAGGGTGGAGGGAGGTGAGCAGAGTGCAGGCTGGGAGACGGAGACCAGAGAGGAGGCTGCGCCGTGAGCCTGTCAGTCAGCCCTGGGCCCTGCCTTCCAGGAACTCTCCGGGTGGGAAAGGGGCGGCATCCGCAGCAGCAGTGCATTCTGTGTGAGCCCTAGGAGACCAACTGGCTTCTCCTCCCCTTTCTCCTCAGGCCCAACAAATGGCAAACCAGCACAAAATCCAGCCCTGGATGGTAAAGCATGTGTGTGCAGGGTGGTAGGGTCAGGCTTATTGTTATGACAACACTGTTCTCTCTCCAGAGCCTCCCACCTGCCGTTGTGTCCTACTTGGCACCGGCCTCTAAGCCGGGCTGGTGCGGAGCGAAGCACCTGGCTGAGCGAGCTTCAGAAGCCCGTGGGCGGCACCTGGGCTGGGCAAACGGTTTGCACTTGGAATGAAAGTAATCCAAGGCTTTGGGGCCTCCCGGCACTCCCTGTCCTGACCTGGCGTGACCTCCCTAAGTTCACTCCAGGGGCCTCCAGGCCCTCGCGGCTGGGGCAGCATCCCCGAGGGGACAGTGCACTGGGAATATGGGCCCCTGAACACAGAGGCCAGGCCACGTGGTTCAAATCCTCTTCTGCCTCTGACTCTGTTACCTTAGGCCCATGGTTGGCAAACTGCGGCTCGCGAGCCACAGGCGGCTCTTTGGCCCCTTAAGTGTGGCTCTTCCACAAAATACCACAGCCTGGGCGAGTCTATGGCATTAGAAGTTTAAGTTTAAAAAACTCTTTGTTGCTTTGATTCCTTGCACATTCCTTGTCAGGAGTTTGGAACATTCTGGCATCACCAGGTAAAAGAATGAGTTTGTGTGTGTGTGTGGGGAGCGGGGGTGGTATATGTGAGGGTGTGTGTATGTGTATGTGTGTGGTGTCTGTGTATACAGGGTAATGCACAAGTAGGTTTACAGTTGTGAGTACACTAAAGTTTATTCTTATATTATTTTTACTAATTATTGTGTTATTTTCCACATGAACAACTGTAAATCAACTTTTGCCCTATATGATATGTGTAAATGTGTTTGTGTGTGTGTATGGTGTGTGTGAATGTGTATGTGTGAATGTGTTTTGTGTTTTGTGTGTGTGTGTGGTGTGTGTGAATATATATGTGTGAATGTGTGTGTGTGTATATGGTGTGTGTGTGAATGTGTATGTTTGAGTGTGTGTGTATGTGGTGTGTGTGAATGTGTATGTGCGAATGTGTGTTGTGTGTGAATGTGTGTTGTGTGAATGGTGTGTGTGAATGTGTATGTGTGAATGTGGGTGGGGTATGTGTGCGTGTGTGTGGTGTGTGAATGTATATATGTGAATGCGTGTGTGTGTGTGTATATATGGTGTGTGTGTGAATGTGAATGTGGGTGGGGTATGTGTGTGTGTGTATGTGTGAATGTGGTATGTGTGTATGTGTGAATGTGTGTGTGTGGGTATATATGGTGTGTGTGTGAATGTGAATGTGGGTGGGGTATGTGTGTGTGTATGTGTGAATGTGTGTGTGTGTGTGTATATATGGTGTGTGTGTGAATGTGAATGTGGGTGGGGTGTGTGTGTGTATGTGTGAGAATGTGTGTGTGTGTGTGTATATGGTGTGTGTGTGAATGTGAATGTGGGTGGGGTGTGTGTGTGTATGTGTGTGTGAATGTGGTATGTGTGTATGTGTGAATGTGTGTGTGTGTGTGTATGTATGGTGTGTGTGTGAATGTGAATGTGGGTGGGGTGTGTGTGTGTATGTGTGTGTGAATGTGGTATGTGTGTATGTGTGAATGTGTGTGGGGTGTGTGTATGTGTGAATGTGTGTGGGGGTGTGTGTGTGGAGGGTGATGCTCTTCTAGGCTCCTCTCCTTTTCCTCCTTCCCACTCCCCTCTGCCCCCACAGCGTCATGCAGGCTCATCCCATGTGTGTGCAGACGGACAGCCCGAGTCCGGGTCCTGCCATCTGACTCAGCCTCCCACCAGCTCTGTCCCAGCTGCTTTGGGTCTGTCACGCCTCTGAGCCGCAGGCCCTTGGCACTGCTTGTCCCTGAAGGTTCTCCCTCTCCCCACAGGTCTTCTACACCAACTGCAGCTGCGTGGCGGGGGGCGGCCCCGTGCCTGCGGGCTCCTGCGACTCGGCCTGCAGCCACCTGGTGCTGCCCTTCATGCTCCTGGTTAGCCTGGGTGCAGCCATGGCCAGCGTCACCCACACTCCCTCCTTCATGCTCATCCTGAGGTGAGACAGGGAGGGGTCAGGGCTGGTGGACACCAAGCGGTCCTTAGCCACAGGCAGGACAGGAATCCGGAGGAGGAGTCTGAAGGAGGAGGGGAGGCCCCACAGCACAGCAGGCTCCTGCGGTCCTGTCTTCATCCTCATGGCATCCTGCGGAGATGAAGCTGTCTCCCACTTACAGATAAGAAAACTTATCTGTAAGTTTTCAGAGCAGTTTGGAAGCTAACCAGAAGCTAACCACAGGTCATGTGGCGGTGTTGGGTAGTAAGCCCAAATCCCTACCTGCCACACCAAGGCCCTGCCTCTGCCTCCCAGTCACAGCGGGAGGAAGTGGAGGACTGTCCTCTGACTCCCCACCCGGACCACCTGTCAGGGGCGGACCTCAGGAAGGCATGCAGAAAATCAAACATCATCCATGTGGCATGATTCTGAGCACCACTCCGACCAACAAGCACCTCAGGGCCTGCTGTGGAACCAGCCCAAGGTCCAAGATCTCCCTGGCCATTGTCCTGAGGGTAGATCTCCCTGGCCATTGTCCTGAGGGTGGATCTCCCTGGCCATTGTCCTGAGGGTGGATCTCCCTGGCCATTGTCCTGAGGGTGGATCTCCCTGGCCATTGTCCTGAAGGTGCCTGCTGGGACCCACACCTTGTCTCCTGAGGCCAAAGTCAGCAGCTCCCGGGGTAGGGCTGCAGTAAGGGGACCTTACAGAAGGATAATTCCAATTTTCCTTACGCTGGGACTATTTTTATTCCCTGCCTGTTTTCTAGAAAGTTAGAATGAAAATGGAACCCCCTACAAATATTTGAAGGCATGTAGATCCATAAAATAGTCTGGCCACAAGAGAGAAAGTAGAGGAATCAGATGAAGGAGTTAAGTATGAGGCCTGCATATGCGGAGTTAGGGCAGGCCATGTGCTGCACAAATTCTAACTCCTGAAACCATCTGCCGTGGGGTCTTTGCCAAGTCACTCAGCCTGTCCAAGAAGCTGTCAGTCTCCTTCTCTGTAAAATGGGCTAATGACACACCTACCTCCTGGGGTGGGGAGGGGCTGCAATAGGGAATGAGTCCTTCGTAAGTGCCGGCTGCTGGTATCACTGAGGAGAGGAGCCAGTGCTTCTCGGGGCGTCGGGGCCACAGCATTGCTGTGGCTGAGGAAGTTAGAAGGCATGTCTGGCTGCCCAGCTCCAGGTTTCGTCACGTGTATGAGGACGGGGAGAATGTGGTGGGGCCAGGCGGTGGGCTGGGAGGCATCTGTGACCAGGAACACGGGGAGGTCAGCATAGGAGGCTGACGGTCGGTCAGTGGCTGTGCCTGGTACCCGGGGATCATCAGGCTCTGTGAATTGATTGGAAATGGTGTGTAGAGCCTGAGGTCCTGGCCCCGTCCCACCCAGGGGCCGTGGGACTGGGGGAAGGCTGGCATTGGGAGGTGGGAAAGTGGGAATGGTGAGAGCCCTTGAGGGCTGGGCCCCTCTCAATCCTCATGTCGCCCCTTTCCCTGATTGCCAGGGGAGTGAAGAAAGAAGACAAGACTCTGGCTGTGGGGATCCAGTTCATGCTCCTGAGAGTTTTAGGTAAAGAACCTCTGGTCCAGATGCTCACTGTGTGCCTGCCGGGGCCTGGGCACAGGGATGAGAGAGACCCAGTCCCTGACTTTGGGGTTCGCTGGCCCATGGGGAAGCAGATGCAACCCGGGTCCCTGCAGGTGGGTGTATAAGCAGCTAGACAGCCCAGCAGGGAGGTAGCATCTGACATCAGGGTGAGGGGTGGGCTTAGGGCCAAGGACAGATGGGCCCGGAGGCCTCCAGCGCCTCAGAGCCCTTGAGGGGTTGTGCAGACCAGGGAATAAGGGGGCGGAGTGGGGAGGTAATAGGAATTCCAGGTCCGTTGTTCCCTGAGCACCTCCTCCTGCAGCCTGGATGCCCAGTCCTGTGATCCATGGCAGTGCCATCGACACCACCTGCGTGCACTGGGCCTGGAGCTGCGGGCGTCGGGCCGTCTGCCGCTACTATGACAACGACCTGCTCCGAACTCGGTGAGACCCCGGGCTGCCAGGGGATTGTGGGAAGGCTGCTGAAAGTACTGGGTGGGGGTGGGGGTACCATGCAGAACACCAGCAGGAAGGGGAAGTTCTGCTGGTGGCAGGTGCTATATCCAGTCCTGGGATCTAGATACTGTCTCCTCCTTTATGGACAAGTGAGAGGTAAAGTGGCCCAAAGACACAGCTGGTAACTGGCAAAGCTGGGCCTTGAACCAGCCCTCTGATGGCAGTCCGTGCAGGAACATGCATCGTCATGGCTGCGTGTGGGGGAGCCAGGGGGCAGCCCAGTGGTGAGAGAGACAGGGAATTGGGGTGGGGTAGGAAGGAGGCCCTCTCTCTGAATAATGCTGGACCCCACAATCTGGGCCCAGCTCTTTCTTCCTCAATGTGGGGCCTGCCTTTTCGGGGCTCAGTCTTCCTGCCTGTACAATGGGAAGCCCAAAGGAACCTGAAGGCAGAGAAGCTGCTGGCCCTGAGATGTGTTGGGAGATGGAAATAGGAAAAGGAGGAGGAAGAGGAGAAGGAGGAGGGGAGGAGACTAGCTAGCAGGGCTAGGAGCATGGAGCTGGTCACTCCCACCTCTGAGGAGGCCATGGTTCCTATGGGCTGGGACTGTCCAGGGTCTTCCTAAGGAAGAAAAAGTCTAAAGTAGAGACTTGGTGAGTTCAATTAGGGATTTTCAACCTTTTTCATCTCATGGCACACATTAACTAATTACTAAAATGTATTTTTTTTGATGACCTGATTTTTTTTTTTTTTTAAAAAGGTATAATTTGGATTCATTTGCACCAGACAGTTATTGTTATGTTGGCCGTTGTCATTTTTTTTTTTTTTCATTTGACCATCTAAGGGAAAAGAGGTCAGTGCCCCTGACTAAACAGTCAGGTACTGCATGTTTTAAAAATCCTTGCAGCACACCAGGTGAAAATCACCGAGTGAGACAAGTGGGAAGAAGGAACCCTCTTTTTCTCTTGGTGGAGCAGATGGGGGCTGGAGGCCAATCCAGAGTTACAATTGTCAGGCAGGGCCTCTGAGCCCTTAGACCTTGACAGGGGAACCCTGGCTGAGGCCACAGGCAGTCAGGGACGGGGCAGGGAGGGTGCCTGGGCTTCTGCTCCCCACCCGGGGCTCCTCCTGCAGAGTGTGTCCCCCTCTTCCAGGCTGTGGTGACGCAGAGTCCACTGGGGCTGGGGAGGCCTCTCCTCCCCACAGGGCCTCCATGTCTCCGCCTGCACGTGGGTGATGATTGCTGACCCCATTCTGCTCCAGCCCAAGGACACCGGAGCCCTGGAAGGGAGGTCCTGGGCTCAAGGGTCTCCTGCTCTTTCCCAGGTTCGTTGGCCTCCAGTTCTTCTTCAAGACTGGCTCCCTGGCCTGCTTCGCCTTGATCATGGCTATCCTGAGGCAGCAGGGCAAAGAGGAGGGGACCAAGGCGGTGACACGCCCTGGCCTACAGCAGCAGCCGTTAATGTCGGGACCGGAGAAGAAGCCTGAAGAATCCAGGGTGTGAGCTGTCCCAGGGCCCGACCCTGGCCAGGAGTGGCAGCCACGGCAGGCGCCTGCTCCAGGCTCTTGGCCTGAGACTAGTTGTCAGGAGCCCTGTGACCCTCTGTGCCGTCAGGATGGACTCAGGTCTCCTCCTCAGCCTGGGGAGGGGCCAGGATAGCCTCTGTCAAGAAGTGTCCATTTGGCGCCCCCTGGAGGCAGAGCCCTGAGCTCTGAGGAGCGATCCACTGGGAAGGAGATGAGCATCCAGGCCAGGCAGGGCATGTAGGAAATCTTGTGTCAGGGCCCTAAGGGGTCTGACCTTCTTGGCGAGGCTCACTCTCTGGACTTAGGAAATCTCAGACCTTGCCCTCAGGGAGCCATGGTCTGGGTGAGGGGCTTCAGTGGCGAGGGACCCCAGGCTCTTCACTTGGGTGTTTTCCAACTTCAAATACCAAACACACCCACCTCATACTCACTGGTACCCTATGCATCGCCGAGGTTTTACACATTTGACCAGGGCCCCCCACCAAAGTTACTGTGCCTTTTGTAATTAGAATCCTAATTCCACCACGTCCTCCTAGGTGCTTGAATCTGTGTCACCTGGGGCTCTGTAGATAATGTCTATTTCTATGACACCTAAGCCTGGGGGATAAACTGGTTCTCTGTGGTGCCAGGGTTGGTATAAGGACTTGCTCTTTGTATTGCCCAGGCCTGTAATTCCTGGGAGCAGTAATGTTCAGCTCTGTGTAATGAGTAGATCTGTGGAATGCTCAGGTCTAAACAAATCTGGCCTGTGTATGTCAGGCCTTGTCTGATGCTCTGGCCAGGCCTGCTTATCTCCCTGGGAGGAGAGAGTTTTCTGATCTGCTCCCAGCCCCTTCTGTTGCCTTCACCTATCTGACCTAGCTGGGACCTGCTGCTCCAGAGGCAGGAGACAGGAAGCCATCAGCAGCTTCCCACATGCTGTGTCCAGCCATGTGGGGGGCGGGGCCAGGGAGAGCTGAAGGGCCTGGCTGGGGCCCTCTGAGCAGCTCCCAGCACCAGGCTTTGAGGCTATCTCAGGTGAAAGAAGAGGGAAGTACAGGACTCTCATTCCCATTTTAGCCTACCATTTAACCTTTAAATGGTTAACAACTATCTGAGCCTTTATTTATCAGTGTCAAGAGTTTCAAAGTTCCCAACAGGGAGAGGCTGTTCGTGTGTTTATATTCCTTCTTCTCCCCCCATTTCCCAGGTTTTGCAGAAATAATCTGGAATTGTAGCTACAGCTTGTTATTAAATTTGTTCTTGCATACTGTCTCTCCTATTGCAAAAATTCTTTCTTACAAACTGCATTAGAATTTGCAACAACTGCATTATTTCCAATTACCAAGATTTAAGTTTTCCTGGAGTCACTGCTCACCATTATTTCTTGTGGTCTACATCTTCCCCTATCTGTATATTCTGGTCTAATTTCCATTTGGCTGGGTTACTTCCTCTAGTAATGGTTTCAGAAATGGAATGAGGGCGTGAGGCTTTCTGAGTCCTCACCTGTCCAAATCATCATGTACGTTTGTTTACCCCAGAGGAAATGGTTTAAAAAGGTTAAGTAACATGCCCAAGATCACCGAGAACATAAATGGTGGCACTGGGGTTAGATCCAGATTTTGTGGGAACTGGAAGCTTATACAATTTGGGAAGCCTTCTAAGAAAAAGAACACAAAACAAGGTAAGAAAATGAGTATTTACTTAGAATGAGAAAAAAGTCAAAACAACTGTCACACAATTCAGAAAAATAGCACAGGGCACCTCTGCCATGCACACCTCTAAAATACATTCCCCCCCCCCCCCAACCCTCCCGACAAGTGAAAGGGTTTCCCACAGATTAGCTTCTGTTTCTGTACATTTTCAACCTGTTTCTCCTCCATTGCCCATGTGCTCCCAGGGCCAGGTGGCATGAAATACACTCATGCCATGAGATGACCTCAGGATAGGACATCTTGATGTCACAATTCTGAGTGAGTTGGACAGTGTGAAGGAAGATTCCTAGAAGCCACTCTGAAAATAGAGGTGGCTGGCAATGATTTACCTATATGCAGGGATGGCTGAGAACCACATAAATATATCTCCATGGACCCAAATTATATTGATCCCCAACTCCACTCCCCCTTTGCCAGGTCCCAGAAATGCCCTTGGCCTCTCCAATCACCTCATATAAAGGGAAGTGGGGACACCAAGGAAGTTGGTGTGAAAAGACTTAGCAATCTTAACTGATTGTGGTTAAAGTATCTTACCTTTGCAAATTTCCCAAGAACATGACAATGTGAACACATGCAGAGGCCCCATCAAGCTGAGTCTTGATGCTGAATCTACATTCAGCAGAGGTTTGAAGAAGTTGAGGTCCTTGTGCTTAAAACCTCTCAGGCTGGTCAGGGCGAGGAGACTCCAGGAATCATCGTAAGAGAGACATGGGCTGAGAGCCAGAAGTGGAGCAGGTAAGGACTGAAGGGGTTCCCAGAGACGGAGGGCCCCAGGGTGCAGCCCTCTTCCCTAATATTAGCCGCTGGTCCACGAGGAACCACACGCAATTGACCTGTGTGCTCGGGAGGTGTGAAATTTCTTGCAAGGTTCTACAGGTGATCAAATCCAGCAGAGGACAGGACTGACGCAGAGCGGATATCCTGAAGCCTGGCCTGGAGTTCCTTTGACCTGTAGGCCCATGCTTCGCCCTTGCAGGGTGGGCAGATGCTCCTTAGAAGTTGGGAGCCAGGAGCCATGATTGGAGCACAAATGAATGAGAAGCAAGAACCCACAGCTCCCTCCCTCAGCATTCTTTAGACCTAGTGAATTCTTTCTTTCTAATCTACCCCTACATGTGCTCTTCTCTACCCAGCTGGCCGCCTTCATCCCACTCCACTGTATCCCAATCTGCTATACTCAGCTCAGAGGTCTCCTCCAGGGAGGGAACGTGGTATAGGCAAGGGAAAGGGTGACAATCACCTTGGACGATATAGTATATAAACTCTCAAAAAAATGCACATAAACACAATTGTGCATCTGATTTCAGAGGCTGGGGACCTGTTGAAGCCTAGCTGAAGACCTCCAGTGAAATGGAGGGAAAAGAACAGCGTTTTAGAGTCAGATTTAAACTCATATCTTGACTCTGGCACTTATTCATGGTGTGACCCTGAACAAGTGATTTAACTTCTCTACACCTCCGTTTCTTCACCGGAGGAAAGGAAAGTGAGGTTGATCGCTCCTATCTCCCGTTTCCCAAAAGTTTGTGAAGACCAAATAATGAGTGCATTTGATCATCAACATTTTTAAGTTTCCTTCTCCGTCCAGGATCCCTGAGAGAACTGAAGGAGTACATAGAGCATGGGGGCAGGGAAAGTAGCAAAGACAGAGGGGGTGGGGGGAACCACTGAAAGGAGACACTCCCTTTGCCCTGCCCTGGCTGCAGCTCTGCTTGTCCCCTAATCTCTTTTACTGTCAACCGGGGCTCACCATCCCAGTCTTATCTCTCCCCACAGCCAACCTGGAACAGCTTTTCTCAACCGGATTTACATCTTATTGATTTTCTCCACTCCAGAGCAGTCCTTTCTGCTTCCCCTTTTGCTATAAAAATGGACTTGCCCTGGAAAATAACAGTTCTGAGGCTGGCCAAGAAGCGATGGTTCAAGGATGGATTCATTCGCCATTCATTCCTTCCTTCATTCAACCAGCCAATGCATCCTACATATCTGCTCCAAGCACCTGTGCTGACCTGCTGGGGACACAACCATGTGTCAGATACAAAAAACTTCTAGTGTAAGCAAGCAAGCTGACCAACAGTGACAACAGCTTGAGAAGTCATATAGGAGAGGGAAGAAGAAGCCATGGACTCTCCCTGGGATCTCCAGGGCAGACTTCCCAGAAGGGGTTAAATCAGAGCTGGCCTTCTTCGTTGGGCAGGAAGTCACTAGGTGGCTAAGATGGGAATGGGCATGGAAAACAAGGGGACCAGCAGATCAGAAGGCACGAGAGAGCGAGGCATGTCTGAGTTATGGAATGAGATCAGTGCGGCTAGGATGTACCACCTGTGCAGGGCGATCAGGAGAGGGGAGAGCTGAGGCTGGAGATGCCAGTGGGGAGCCAGCCTTGAGTTCCAGCTGGAGGCTTTGGATGTTTTCCTGAGAGCAAGGAGGAGCTTCTGAAACATTGATGGATGGATTATTCCATTGGGCGGTTATTTTAAGCAGGGAGTGACATGACAAGATGTGTGTTTTAGAAAGACTGCTGGCTGTGCCGCGGGGGCTGTTGAGTAGAAAAGAGAAGCTGGAGTCCAAGTGCTCAGGCAGGAGACTGGCGCACTAATGCAGAGGAGAAGCAGGCTTTGAACCAGGTCAAGAGGTCTCCTGAAAGTGGGGACATCTGAGTCATGAGAGATGAGTAGTGACACACCAGGTGGAGTATTGAGAATGGTGCCCAGAGAGAAGAAGCTGCAAAGACAGAGGCTCAGCATGCAGAAACGCTTGGGGAATTTCCACTACTTCAGGAGGGCTGCAATGTCGCTTTAGAGGGAGATGATAGTGAGGGCTGAGATTGAAGAAGTGGGTTGGGGCTCTCAATTTCTCCCAGTATTCTCTGTCTCCTGAACCTAGATGCAGGTGGGAGAGAAGAGGGAGCACAGGTCACTGTTGCTAACTGTGAGGGGCTACCTCCATGCAGACCGTGAAAGCCCTCGGTGAGGTGTGCTCCTTACTCAAAGCAAACCTTTCTGGGATCACAATACTTGACATTTTTACAAAGTCCCTTTGTACTGGATACTCAAGGTTCCCTGGTAAGGAATGAGGAACAGGGGTTATTATCTCCATAAAGGAGATAGAGAAACAGGCCTACAAGAGAGTAAGAACTTATCCAAGGTCACTCAAGAGCCCAAGTATCCCCCTCTTAAAACTCTGATGTTTTTTTCTAATAAACCTACTTGTCACTGACTCACATATACACAAGAGATGCCATAGCTGCAAACTAATGTGATTAAAATGAAAAGGGGGAGAGAAA